AACCACTCATGGCATTGATGCAAACATTTCTCATTGCCAGTACTAATATATTTTTGTTGGATTTCATTGATTTCCCGGGTGAAGTCGTGCTCCATGCTTAATGTTTTATCTTTCTTGCAGTGGTGTAGCAAGTGTTCTCAGCACCCGGGGGCAAAGACACTTTTGGCGCCCCACCTCTGAAATGTTTTGATTATTTGTTTTGTGACTCATTACCCACTTAATAACAATAACATAAAAAATTAATTACCGCCTTAAGGAGGCCTAATATAAAGTCACAATACAACATCTCACGATATCATAACTGTAAACCTGGAACTAATGAAGTTTTGCCAACTAGATGTACTTACATAATTTATAAACCATTTTGATATTTATGTACCAGCATTCTGGTATTCATGGTTACATTATATAAACCTTTCATGTTTTTGCTGCTGCAAATGCATCAATTAAACTATCAAAATTTAAAGTATTAAGTACGTCTTTGTCAATACTTAATATTGCCAAGTTACTAAGTCGTTCTTGAGTCATTGCAATTCTTAAATTTGGAAAAACATCTTCACCATATGAAATAATAAATGTCAGCAAATCAGTTGCAACCATTGGTTCAGAAAAATCGGTCTGTGTTCTTTTTCTTATCAACATTCTACAGCCGTTAATTTCTCTGTACAATTCTGGTCCATCAATATCACCTGGATAGCTCTTTGCTAAGTCAGAACATATTCTTGCAATTTTCCGTCTTCGAAATCTCCAGAAACAATATTTTGCACATCTAGTAGAAATCCAAACCGTGAATCTAAATCTAGTAAGCGAGAAAATCTTCCTTTCTGTAATCAAGCGATCAATAACATCCTTCATGATGCGATAAATTTCCTGTTCAGCAGTCAATCCAGCATCAGCTGCATTTTCACCTGGCATTCGTTTATGACGTATTTTTCTTCGTTCAATGGTCAATCTTCATGTTTCACATTGATTCTTGCCCACTTTAAGTGCTTCTTGACAGGACTTTTCACGTGATTCTATTAATTTATCTTTCAAAGAATTAAGATCAGCAGCTGCTTCTCTAAAATTCATTTTTGGGTCCTGAAGACGTTTCTGCACTCGATTGATCGATGATAAAAGATTTCTCCAAAAATGTAAAAGTACAAGAAAATCAAATATAAGCATGCGTTGCAGAATATTATGAGCACCACATTTTGTTTCAGTCATGTTGCCATTCTCACTTAATTGCTCTAACAGTCCTAGCAATTCATACAGATTTTCATATACAACTTTTACTGCATTTTCTCTTGCACTCCACCGTGTTTCTGATTCACGCTTGACAGAGATCTTAAGCTCCTGCTGCAGTTCGTCCCATCGAGTTGTTGAATGAGTAAAGAAATTATAAATGGCTTCAATTATACCAAAAAAGGAGCCCCCCAGTATGTCTGCGGACTTACAACGCTAGAATCCGGGTTTTGATACCCGTGGTGGGCAGAGCACAGATAGCCCTTGTGTAGCTTTGTGCATAATTACAAACAAAAATAATTACAAACAAAACCAAAAAAAGGTAATAACTGTTGTTTCCTGACTTGCAGCATGAAGACATGCTAAGTTCAAACTATGGTTGTCACAGTTTGTAAACACTGCTTTTGGATTTTTGTTCAGAATTCTTTGTTAAATCCTCTGACTGACGACCAGACATGACAGCAGCATTATCATAACATTGTGAACAACAATCACTCAATAAAATTCCATGCGCTTCTAATTTTGTGCTTATTGTTTTCTCAATATTGGCAACATCTTTTTCCTTTATCTGTATAAATTCAATAAACGACTCATTGACTTCTACTTTTGTTGTCTTAAAGTCAATGTCAACAAACCAAATCACTTGGGCCAATTGCTCACGATGGGCTAAATCAGGTGTGGAATCAAACAGAATACCATAGTATTTGTTTCTACGAATTGCTGGCAAACAATAATTTCGCACATGTGAAGCCATGAGATTTATAAACTCATTTTGGATTTCAGGAGAAAGATAAGATGTTGATGTTTGCTTGTTTTTAACACGCTCTAAATGCTCTATCATTACTTACTGGATCATACTT